ATTGTTTTCAACTTTTTTTCTTGTTTATAATATATCTAAATACTTAATAATATTATATTGTATTTTAACTTGTGTTTAATTGTGTTTTTTGGTACAACAATTTTTCAATATACACATACACACTAAATGCAAAATTGATTTTATTAACATAACAAATTATACATTTTTAGTAATTATAATTTAAAGCTATTCTACTTGTCCCATTATTTTCAAGTTATCTGCTTTGACAAACTCACATCCAGTACTTTGAACTATATCAACAATTTCAACACCTTCAGCAATCTCAACTAAAGTCAATCCATTCTCTGGATCCACATCAAATACGCACTGAAAAATACAATTAATTGTTTTAAATTCATGATATTGAACAACAAATGTCAAATGACGTATAACATTACCTTCTCTGTGATAATCTTGTCTACACATCGAATACCAGTTAACGGAAGATTACAATTAGATATAATTTTTGGTGACCCGTCTTTTGTTGTATGTTCCATAACTACTATGACTTTGGTATGTGGAGCTGATACAAGGTCCATTGCACCACCCATACCTTTGACCAATTTTCCCTGGTTTAAAAAAATAAAATAAAATAAATCAAGAAAAAACAAATAAGTAATATCGAATATTTACTGGTATCATCCAATTAGCCAAATCCCCGTATTGTGACACCTCCATTGCACCCAATATAGTTAAATCCAAATGACCTCTAATTTAGAACATGGAAGAATTTTGAAAAACAATAATAACAGTAAATCATAATTAATTGAACAGTATAGTTACCCTCTTATCATTGCAAAACTTTCTTCACTACCAAAAAAACTGCTACCAGGTATGACAGTTACTGTTTCTTTACCAGCATTTATTAAATCTGGATCAACAAATTTTTTGGATGATGGATATGGACCAAGACCGATAATACCGTTTTCACTATGTAACATTACTCGAATACCTTCAGGAATGTAATTACTAGCTAACATTGGCATGCCTATGCCCAAATTAACTGTTTAAAATATTTGTTAAGGGTATTTAATTACTGAACCGATAGTTATGAATTTAYCATAACTATGCTACAAATTAAAGAGGTGAGTGAACTAATATAAAAGTAAAATAAAGGATACTGTACATGCCGTTTTTGAATTCAAGAGCTGCACGTTTAACAATTTTTTCTCTCAATTGAGCAGCTGGTGAGCTAACTAACATGGAAATGGATTCATCAGACTTTTTAGACAAAACAGTTTTCTAAATATGTACACGTTCTATTATTATTTGATACTTTTAATTTTTGTTATATCAATATATTACTTCAATTTTTTTGATGTAATCTTTGCCAAGAACAATTCGATCAACATATATTCCAGGAACATGTACTTGATCTGGATCAATATGACCATTTTCAACTATYTCTTCAACTTCTACAATTGTAGTTTTTGCAGCTGTACACATGACTGCATTAAAGTTTCGAGTTGATTTACTATCAAATTAAAATTATTATTACAAATAATAACTAACTGTTTGTTAAGAGTATTACTTGAATACAAGATTTCCTTCATGGTCTGCCTTTTGTGCTTTAATGATAGCATAATCGGCTGTTATTGCTTTTTCCAAAACATATGTCTTATCATCAAAGACTTGAGTTTCTCGAACTTCGCTGGCGATTTCCACGCTTCTACTTGGGTTTTTTTGGTTAACTTCATTGTTCTCATTATCTTCTGCTGATTCTTTATGCAATGCATACTTTAGTGGGATACCTCCTTCTTCCACAAGAGTACCTACAGCAGTTGGAGTATAAAATGCTGGTATACCTGCACCTCCAGCTCGTATACGCTCAGCTAATGTTCCCTAAAAATAAGATTATACTTCTTTATTGAACTAATTAAATATTATTAATCTACAAACTTGAGGTGTGAGCTCTACTGTAAGCTCTCCGTTTAAATACTGCTGAACAAATTCAGAATTCTCACCCACATATGAACCAATTAATTTAGATATTTTATTTTGTTTTAATAGTTTTCCCAASCCAAAATTATCAACTCCAGCATTATTACTTATCACTGTCAAGTTATTTATGTCTTCTCGTTCTACTAAACCATCAATCAGCTTTTCTGGGATACCACAAAGACCAAAACCTATATTTATAAAAAAAAATRTGGATTAAAAATCAACATAATATCYCACTATTTATTTTKGTGTTTCATAATATTCCTAATTACATGAAATTTTATAACATGTTAACAAGAATTTTCAAGTCAGAGACTCAAATTTATATCATTAAAAAATGTACTTTTACTATATTAATTGTACAKCATTATCGAAAGGTCTAGTTTATTGGTTTAGAGTTTTAAAACAATAATACTTTAGTTCTAAAATCTTCCAAAGGGTTT